ACTCCGGGTTCAGCGCTGTTCCCAGAACCTAGGTCGGTAGGTTCTCTCTGCTTCTCCCTCTGTCTCCCTTTCCAATATGTTATTATATATATATGTATATATTTTAAGTTCTGCATATTAGGCCATTTTGTCATCCTTAAAAAAAAATCCCTTTCTGGGTTGGGAGAGACTGCCCCTCCCAGGGCCAGCCAGTTCTTAGAGATAGCAGAGGACTCATCCCAGAACATGCCTTTCATAGGCAAACGAACCAGCTCAGGGCCATACTTCCTCTCTCTTTGTCCTGTACACCCCCTGAAGGCTATATACCTCTGCCTTAATCATCCCAAGCCAAGTACTAGGCATCTATATAGCTTAGAGACCACAGAAAATACTCAAACCAGCCAGACCTAAACTGTTTACCCTATCCTGGTTTGCCTTTCCCACTCCAGCAAAGGCCATGGGAAAAGCTTTTTTCTTACTCTTGCCTTCTGGCATGGATGCAGAGAAAAAGGAACCCTTATACATTGGTTATAGGAATGTAAATTGGTCCAACCATTGTGGAAAACAGTATGGAGGTTACTCAAAAAATAAATAGAAATACCATATGATCCAGTAATTTCACTACTGAGTATTTACCAAAAGAAAACAAAAACACTAATTCAAAAAGACATAGTAGCTGCTCAAGTGTCCATCGATAGTTGAATGGATAAAAAATATGTTTTAAATATATATATACTTTTTTTCCATACTACCCAAAGCAATCTACAGATTTCAATACAATCCTTATCAAAACTCCAATGCTATTTTTCCAGAAATAGAAAATAACCGTCATAAAATTAGTGTAGAATCACAAAAGACCCTGAAAAGCCAAAGTAGTCATGAGAAAGAAGAACAAAACTGGATACATCACACTCCCTGATTTCAAACTATATTATAAATCTATAGTAATTAAAACAGTATGGTATTGGCATAAAAAGGGACACACATGTCAAAGTACCATAATAAAAATCTCAGAAATAAACTCATATACACATGGTCAATTAATTTACAACAAAGGAATCAAGGATATACAATGTGGAAAGGACAGTCTCTTTGATAAATGATGTTGGGAAAATTAGACAGCCACATGCAAAAGAATGATGCTGGCCCACCATCTATATATCATGCACAAAAATTAACTCAAAGTGGATTAAAGACTTGAAACCTGAAATCATAAAGCTCCTAGAAGGAAACAGAGGTGGTAAGCTCCTTAACATAGGTCTTAGTGATGATTTTTTTAATCTGACACCAAAAGTAAAAGCAACAAAAACAAAAATAAACAAGTGAGATTACTTAAAACTAAAGGTCTTCTGCACAGCAAAGGAAACCATCAATAAAATAAAAAGGCAACCTACTGATGGGAGAAAATAATTGCAAATCATATATCTGATAAGGGGTTAATATCCAAAATATATAAAGAACACATACAACTCAATAGAAAAAAAAATCAAACAATCCAACTTAAAAATGGGCAGAAGAACTAACAGACATTTTTCCAAAGAACACATACAGATGGCCAACAGGTACATGAAAATATGTTCAATATCATTAGTCATCAGGGAAATGCAAATCAAAACCACAATAAGAGGGGGGCCTGGGTGGCTCAGTTGGTTCAGCATCAGACTCTTGGTTTCGGCTCAGGTCATGATCTCAGGGTCCTCTGCAATGTGGAGTCTGCTTGTCCCTCTCCCTCTGCTCATTCCCCATTCACTTGCTCACTTTCTCTCTGGAATAAATAATAAAATCTTTTTAAAAAACACACACACACAATGAGATATAACCTCACACCTAGCCGTAGAATGGCTATGATTTAAAAAAAAAAAAAAAAGACAAGAAATAAGTTGGTGTGGATGCAGGGAAAAGGGAACTCTTGTGTACTGTTGGTGGCATATAAATTGGTGCTGCCACTATGGAAAACAGTATGGTGTTTCCTCAAAAAATTAGAAATAGAACTATCATACTCTCTAGCAATTCCACTTCTGGGTATTTATCTGAAGAAAACAAAAACACGAATTTGAAAAGATATATGCACCCCCATATTCATTGTAACAATAGTCAAGATATGAAAACAACCTAAGTGTCCATCAATGGATGAATGGATAAAGAAATTGTGGTATGTACAATGGAAAGTTACTTAGCCATAAAAAATAATGAAATCTTGTTATTTGCAACGCCATGGATGAACCTCAAGGATTCACTTATACTAAGTGAAATAAGTCAAAGAAAGACAAATATCATATGATTTCTCTTATATGGAATCTAAAAAAAACCCAAAAACAACAAAAGATAAGCTCATAGATACAGAGAAAAGATTGATGGCTGCAAGAGGCAGGTGGGGGAGTGGAGAAATGCATGTGTTTTGTTTTGTTTTTAGGGAAAAAATAACTTGCCATATGACCTAACAATTCCACTCCTAAGTACATACCCAAGAGAATTGAAAACGTATGCCCATACAAAAACTTGTACATCAATATTTATAACTATATTATTCAAAATAGTCAAAAAGTAGACACAACTCAAATGTCCATTAACTGATGAATGGATTTAAAAAAAGTAGTATATACGTGCAATGGAATATTATATGGCCATGGAAAGGAATGAAATACTGACATGCTACAACATGAGTGGACCTTGAAAACACTATACTAAGCAAAAGAAGCCAGACACAGAAAGCCATTTATTGTGTGATTCAAATCATATGAAATATCCAAAATAGTCAAATCTATAAGGACATAAAGTAGATCAGTGGTTTTCAGAGATTGGGTTAAGGAAGAATGGAGATTGACTGCTAATGGGTATGAGGCTTACTTGGGGGTTTATGAAAATTCTCAAATCAGACAGTGATAAAGTTGCACAACTTTATGAATATACTAAAAATTATTGGATTGTATGGTTTTAAATATTGAGCTTTATAGAATATAAATTATATCTCAAAAAGACCTTTACAGGGGTGCCTGGCTGGCTCAGTTGGTGGAGCATGTGACTCTCAATCTCAAGGTTGTGAGTTCGAGCTCCACATTGGGTGTAGAGATTACTCAAAATTGAAATCTTTTAAAAAAAGACCTTTATAGAGAAAATTTTTAAAACGTTAGAGAAAGACATAAAAGAATTCTTAAGCAGAGAGGAATAGTCTATGGTCTTAGAAGGAACTTAGTATCAGAAGATAGACTTTCTTCCCCAAATCATTGTGCTTACAGTGAAAATCCTAGCAGGACTTTTCAGGGAACTAACACTGACACTATGAAATGCTTAATGGAAATCTCTAATAGGCTTGAATATTTGTCAAATTGGATATATCTGAATTTGTAAAGTATTTTTAGAGTTTGGATATGAATCTACCTGGTCTTGGTGCCTTATTTATGGTGGATCTTTAATAGCCTTCTCAATTTATCAAGTTTTACATATTTCTTCAATTAATTTTGGTAATTTACATTTTGTTAGGAAATCATTTCCTCTTAGTTTTCAAATTTATTACCATGATATTCTTATATTTATTTAAATCTCCTTGTGATTGTTTTGCCTGTCTCATTCCATTTTTTTCTCTTTCTCCATCACCCAGATTCATGGAGCATTTATCTTTAATACTGGTCTTTTCAAAAATACCACCTTTTAAATTTTCTATTTAATTTACATTTTTATCTCTATTTTGTTGCTTTCTAGATTCATCTGTTCTCTCTCTTTCTAGTTTCCTATGGTGTATTGAGGTACTGAAACCTGAGTCAGGGGAAGACAGGAAATGCTAAGTCTGAGAAGATACTGGAGAGCTATAAGGAGATACACTGCCATGGTCCCTCCTACTCTCCTGTGTGACTGATAATGAGGAGCGATGTGGATGGGCTTACTGGAGGAGAGCCCTGGTATTTCTTTCTTTTTTTTTT